CCTACAGACATTCTTTCCCAGTTGGGTATCCTGTGGTGATACTGCCACTTGTGCCAAAAACGTTCCCACGTTGTCCCATGATGTATCTGCTTCTGTAGTGTAGGTGATTTATGGGGTTTTTAGAGTCTTCTTGTAAATTACGTCTTTTATTTTTATAGGGCCATGGTAGTATTTCTTCTTTGAGAAAGCAAGTGCATTACTTAAATAAGACAATAAATAACCCACCTGCTCTCTTTCCGAAACATCTGTGGTGGCTGACTGCTGTGTGCTATCTCTGTAACCAGGTTTGGTAGATACTTGCACCCTGTTAAATGTGCAAGTTGAGCACTCTTCCAGTGCTTCCATTTCTTCCACTGAAATGTTGGCAGTTCTGGAACTACTTGCAGGAAAAAAAATTTTTATACAAAATGTGCTTATTTTTAAGTTTTCTGGGAAGCTCAGGAGCTAAATTGAGACCGATTGTTGAGTTCCATTAAAGGAACAGCTTGAGTGCTTAAAAGTGAGAAGAAGATTTTTGGTAAATAAATACACATGTCAGACCTCTGACCTGTTGCATTAGTCTCATAAAATAAACTGGTAGTTAGCAGAGGATTTAACTATTCATTTTGAATATGTTAGTGAGTACTTAGATCAAATTGAACATTGTTGAAGATTTCCTGGAAAACTCTGTGTAGAAGTGGAATGGAGTATTGAGAATTTGTTCGTACGGCTGATTCCAGAACATTTCGATACAGAAGTAGACCAAAAAATAGCATTTTGAATATGCCGTTGGTTTTGTGTATAAGATCATTTCTGTAAAGCCACAGCCTTTTAGATCTTTCACTTGCATTTATCTGTGTGCAGGCTTTCCTAGGAATATTAAAATTTCTGTGTATAGTTTTTCCTCTGGCATGCAATTATCTGCAGTACTTTCGTACTCACAACTTCAGATTTTTTTTTCCCTGCCCTGCATTTAAGGTCCACTTTTCAATTAAGAGAAATATATTCAAATGGTATTTTAAGTTACGTTTACAGTATTACTGTTCAAGTCATAAAACATTCAGTAGAATACCCAAACAACATAATTCAACAAATGTCAAAAATTAAGCTTCAGTTTTACTTGAGAGTGATGCCACCATTCATTTATTGACTCATTTTCTTTTCATTGGCAGAATCTGAAGAAGATTCAGGAAATGGACAAAGAAGCAAGTGATGATTCCAGCACAGATCTTGATGACTTAAAAAATGCTGACTGGGTAAGACTACAACTGAATAGTGATTCAGCATCATTACTAGTAGTTTATATTTCTTTATAGTGCTTACCTAAAGTTGTTTGTTTTATGTTAAAACCAGTGTCTCGTTTTTCTAACATATGACTTAATAGTAACTCATGACAAGTTAGAAGCAAACAGACTCTCAACCTTCCTTCATAGACAGATGAAACAATACAAGTATCCAAGCATTACATTTTTTCTTTAGACTGTTTTCCTGGAGAAGCTTTTGCAATTTAAAAAGACTGGACATTTAGACAGGTATCGTGCTGACTGCCCTTCAAAGGGGCAGCCAGGCAGGAGACACAGGCAGCAGCTGAGTGTCTCCAATATGGAAGAAAAATGTGACAGAGAAACTCTTAACAGAAAGTAGCTTGTGTTATTTTCTAGTTACTATTCTTGCCAGTTCATAGAGGAATATGATGAGGTCCTTAAAAGTACTTGATTTTCATCTTCCAGTCTTCTGTCCACCACCCAGTCTTCCTCCTCTCCAGCCATTCTCACTGCCCAGAAAATGAGGAGGAGATGTTGGTGTGTAGCGCTCTCCCAGGCAGAGCAAAAGGAAGTTGAATACCGAGAGGATATTGATAGACCTTAGGATTTGGAGTCCAGTCCAAAATTTCTATTTGAAGAACAGCTGCTGGGAAATTTTGCAATAAAGTTCTGGGCCTGAGGGAAACAAAGTTTCGGATTCAATCACTGTTTTAATTCATATAGTATTAGCTATAAGTCTGGAAGCTTTCCTGATGTGCTTGCAATATACTTGAAATGGAAATCCAGATGTATGGTGTGAGAATTTCAAATCTTTTTTCTGTGTTACCTTAAGAGATGAATGTCACTTGAGGGCAGACTCTGCAGTCCTGCTGAGTTGCAAAGAAGTTTTGTTACGTTCATGAGGTTTAAAAATAGGCTTATATAAAATAAAATGGGGTTTGGTTGATGTGTTAAAAATAAAATAGTATTTGGTGGTGTCCTGAAAGGGGAATGAACAACCTTGGTTTAATCTGAGGTGGTATTCAAGGGTAAGGTATCAAATAAAATTTCTCTATCTTTTCCCTTCAGGCTCGTTTCTGGGTACAAGTGATGCGAGATTTACGGAATGGAGTTAAACTTAAGAAAGTTCAAGAGCGTCAGTACAACCCACTCCCAATAGAATATCAGCTCACACCCTATGAAATGCTGATGGATGATATTAGATCCAAACGCTATACCTTAAGAAAGGTCATGGTAAGTCAAGAGAATCTCTAGAATTTGTCAAATTGGAAATGTTATTTTCCTTTTTTATCTTCTCTTTTTTTTCTCAGAACCTTGAAATTATGATTTCATGTGGATAGTTACATTCATGTTTTTTATATAGCATCTTAAATTTATGTAGTACATTGAGGGGAAAAACCTGAAACCAAAAAATGTTGTGTATTTTGTTTTCCATATGGCAAGCATTTAAAATTCTGAAGGACGTACCTACGTATCATATGCTTGAACAAACGACTTGTGTTGTGACTTAAGAGTCATATCAAAAGTCCTATCACACTTTGCACTGAGAGATTGGTTTACGCTTTTCTTATTGGAGAGAACATTTATCTTGAGTTACAGCATAATTTTTAGAATTTGAGAATGTAATGTGCTACCATGTTGTTACTGTGACAGGAAAGGAAAACCTACAGAGGTTGAAAACTTACATTACCAACTACCTATATTGCAGTGTCTGAAAACTTACGTTACCATGATTTGTTAGGAATTTTCAAAGAATACTCCATGTGAAAAAATTTAAATCTTTAATTTGTGGAAGTTGAGCTTAATTATTTTCAGCGTATCCTGTTGCTGCTTTCAAGTCAAGACAACATGCCAAAGCAAGCCGGAGAGTGTCAATGGGTCTCCTCCTCCTAGATACTCGTAAGGGTGCATGTGAGATTGACTTGAGGCACTCTTTTTGTCAGAACCCATTTGATATGTACTGGAGTCTCCCTGTTCTTTCTTTCCTTTTGGTTTATATTGTGTTCAACATTAAGATGTTCTTCCTGATAAGCTAGCAGCTGATCTAAAGGGCTCCTTATCCCTAGTAGGACATTTTAAACCCCTTTGTCAGAGGCATCTATTTGGTCAATGTCAATATTTATACCTTGTACTTAGTTATCTTTGCCTGTTACTGGTTACAGCGGAAGCATTATCTGAGAATGTTCAGTGGTCAAATGTATTTGCTTTCCTGACAAAACCTCACACAACCTTTCTTAGTGAGAAAGCCCTGATTCTACCAGAAAAATTCGGAGATGGAGGTGGGAGGGAGACAAGAGAGGCAGAAAGCATGCAGCTTGCTCTATCAGAGATCATTAGAAAAAAGAATAAAGAGGAAAAAATAGATGGGGAGCGAATGGGGAGCAAATAAATGAGTTCTGTTACAAATATAAGTGCCTTTTATGTATGAGCTGAAAGTACTTTCCTAATCAAGATCTGGATTTAGACTATCAGATTGTATTTCTTTTCTGCAGCAGATGTCGCTTAAATGTGAAATCAATAGGGTAAAATACATACCCAGGTAATGATGCTATCGGTCTTTCCGCTAACAATTCAGAGAACTGTGCTAAGAGTTCCTACTGCCCACTGCAAAAGAGGAACAGTCCCCTCAGGACCTTGATTACTGTGGGAAATCAGGATAGTAGTTTTGTTTGAATGGGAGCCCCTGGGTCACCTAATTTTGCTTTTGTCAGACTAGCCTTCAATTCATCTGCTGCTCAGCAAGCTCCTGCCACTTCAGAAGAGGTTTTCTTCATTATGTGGCAGGTCTTGGAGGCACAGCTGCTCCTCTGCTCATCCAGACTCTCGCTGTATATGAAATCCGTGCACGCATCTATTTTTTTGTCCTGCTATCTTGTCTACTAGGTAGATTCTCCAAAGTGACCTCTGGGCATAAACATGAATTGGGGTTACAGTCAGGTGCAGGTGCGGTACCTGTAGGGCTGTCTGTGGTGCAGCTGCTGGCTTAATCTGACAACTGCTAATGACCTTGTCTTAGAAAAATAACTTCTTATTAAAAACCTTAAATTCAGTAACTTGGATTCTGCTGCAGGGTCTGCTTGAAGAATGTGCAAAGCATGCACAATAATAAGAGTGCAGCTTGATGTGAAATGTGTGAAGCCTGAAGGCTTCACGTAGAATTACAAGTTTAGTTAGATCACATAAATACAGCATCTTTTAGCTGACCGTCATGGGTCAAAGCTGATCATACATATTCCCATCAGAGAAAGTTGTCGTGGTTCTTGGGAAGATGAGAAAAGGACGAGGATCCTAAATCTGAATTTAAAGGCAGCCTGGGAAGGATGGATTATGTTTCTTTCTATTGGTCAAAATGCATGTTTGACAAAATTTTCTTTAAAAGCAATTTTTGCTTTAAATTTATAGATAGTGTTTTTAGATTTGGTAGCTTCTGAAAATGCATATGCTACTAATCATAACAAGAGGTTAAGTACATTTTTTAAGTAAATGAGATGCAACATGAAGTCTTTACTGTTCTTTTTATTAATATAATGCTGTGTTTAAAAGAGTAGCTTGATCTGTCCCTGACTGCTCAGTACTCTGAGTAGAAATTAGGAAAGGAACAGATGTTCCTATTAGCTGTGTTACTTAGGAACTATTTTGGTGTTTCAGACTATGAAAAGTGTTGAGTTAACAGATGCCAATAACTGGAGCTGTCTGTTCTCGCTCATCTTCCGTCATAGTGCAAATATTCAAAATGTTTTGAAGATGTAAAATGTCAAATTCTGGGCTTTTTGTAAATAACTGGTTTCATTAGTTTCAGGGACGTTGGCATTTCTATTTCAGTACATAGGAAAATAATTTCAAATTTGTCATCTATCTATCCCGATGCAAGAGTCCTGGTTTCTGTGGTGGTGTGGGAACAAGATAACTTTTGTTCTGGCATTCTTTAATCTTTAAATGCTGACCTGGAGAGATTTAATAGCATTTTTCTCCTATGGAGCACTCAGTCCCAAAAAATTAAAAATTGTGAAAATTGGTAGAGTCAACACTTGGAAATGGGGACATTTAAGAATTAAATTGTTCTTACAGGCTTAATTTTTCTTTGTTATGCCTATATCTTAAGCTACAGCTTTTAATTCCACCTTGGTTCACATTTAGCTCTCTTTCCTGCCCACCTCCCCCCCTCCAAGATGTGCACCGGTCACTGTCTTTCTGGAGCAGTGCTTATTGAACAGTAACTGGTAACCCTTATGTTACTTATTCAGTGCATGGCCGTCAGGTACCTTTTCTGCAGTATCCAAACTCAGCATCACATTGCGTAGCAGTTAAATTCTTCATAGGTAACCGTGCTCAAGTCTTTGTGCTCGAGCTCTTTGCAAATACTTGTGATGCAGTGGTGTTAGCTCGGCCGTCTTGCAAAAGGGGAATGTAGGTGTGTATAGGTTGAAGCTATTACTATAAAAAATACCCAGTAATTTGAATGTCTAATCTGAGGATCCTGTGGCACAGTTGTTTGGGTATTTTTCAGAAAAAAATATTTATTTCTTTACATTATTTAGCGCCTTACAGTACTTACATTAACTGCAATAACAGCTGTGCATGGACAATATTTTCATAAGTGAGACTGTAGATGTTTCAAGCTGGACACAGAGAATATGAGGAAAAGACTTTGACCAGTTTGTCCAGCTGGGCATCGTAGGGTCTATCATTCCCTTGTGCACAGGTCGGACTCCGTTTTACTGAGCGGTAGTCAGCTGCTTTAAGCAGGGAACTATCGTTTTTCATTTTCTGTCTTCATCACGTGTTTCTGCAGAAGTTTCGGCATCATCCTAGGTAGAGCAGTGAATTTTACAGTTCCTAATGGTGCTTTAGGGCTATTGAAAGGAGGAGTGACTCTGTAAGTACTGTGGTTATCATGCGGTATCATAAACTTGTACCTGTAACAGATGTGCAGGAAGAG